GTGCAGTGCAAATATGCTTAAAGTGATTTAAGTGATAAAGTGAAAACAATGTCCAGAATGTCCAGTGAATTTGAATACTTCCATTCGTACAACAGGTACTTCTTTGGGTAGAGTGTTACTTTCAACGGGTAGTTTTGTTTTGTCTGCTAGCAGCAGTAACATGCAGCGGTAACATTTAACTAGCTTGTGGCTATTCACTACCTGGACTTTCATAACAGTAACCCTTCAACCTACAATACAATACAAGAAGTAATAGACAAAGGAGTTCTTTCCAACTTTATTGGATTTATAAATTACAGGCTAGTAAATATCCTGGCTTAAAAAAATAACTTTACTTCTTTGTTATAAACTTTATTGATGCATTTATGTTATTTGTGGTCAGTGCAGCTGTGTGGTCTTTTTTGTATGATTTGGATTGAATTTGATGAATGTTTATTGGTATCTTTTTGGGCTTCTGGATGTGTCCAGGTTATTGAAGACTCCTCCTGTTGGTGGAATTTTACTGTTGGAGTTTTCCACTTTCACCCTAGGTTTGGATGAACACCATATTTGGAAGGCCCCAATTAGTGGAACACCAAAAGAAAATATTCGGTGTGTTGATAGATGAAGGCTTGCATACCAAAACATGCTCACCATGCCATGAGAATAAAGCCATTGGAGTTTGTTGGTATTTTAGTTTATTTCACACTCTACATCTTGATAGTTAGGAATACACCATCCAGATACTTTTAGTGTATTTCATGCAGCTAAATTTATGCACATAATAGAAAGTCTAAGTCCAGAGATATGGGATTCTAGACACAACAAAAGTCTTAATGCCATGGTGACAAGTTCTCTGCATTTTAAAATAAAGTCCTAACAGGCTCATGTCTGTAACATTAAGTCAGATTAATTTCAGAAACTGGAAACTGGGGATTTAGTAACTTCCAGGAGCCTCAACTGGAAACCTTACATTGACATAAAGACATAATCCCCATAAAACTGAAAAATGTAATTTTTATGCTTTGATTTGTTTGCAAACAAATTCTGTGAAATGCATAAATTTGTAAATGTAGGAGATATCAGCCAACTAGGTCCTGATGGCACCTTCCAAACTGCATTACAGACAGTAGACTGGTGTGAGCTATTATAATGCAATGGTGATGTATGAAAGGTGAAGTGTAACTTTAGTGTTAGTGTTTGTCAAGCTTTCTATCCCCCAGTCTTCAGTCTGGTTTTCCTACTTTAGTCCTCCGAGAAAACAAACTATCCTGCGTGACACAGCTGCACACAAACACGGGGGGAGGGATTTCTCCGAGTCCTCCTTTGGTCGTTTTGAGAGCTGATGTTATTTAATGTCCCTTCAGAGTCACTCTCAACATAGTTGCAATCGGGGGCCAACTGAGAATTATGATCTCAGTGTCCTGACAGGTGCTGCTCGTGGCAGCAAAGCCGTCAACAGCGCGTCCCACAGAGAGCTGCACGTCAGCCTTTGGGTTGGGTCGATTTCCTGAGGCGGGGACATATGCCGTTAGTACTTGAACTGTCATTCTCTTCACCTCCACACCAGTTTATGTGAGGCA